GCATCATAATGACAGCTCAACTTTTATTTCTTGAAAGGTCATCTCACCCCTTGTGCATGTCATTTAAAGACACAGACAGCAGATTATGAAGCAGAAAATTAAAAAAAATATTAAAAAGATGCTTTACAAAGCCCTGCAACATTCATCTGTGCAGCCCAAATTCCTGCTTTGTGCTGCTGACAGTACCAAAATGTTCCTGTTGCATCCACTGAGGTATGGGCTTGAGCTTCAAAAAATTGGCTCTTACCTCACACACCCCACATCCAGCTTGGCAAATCTCTGGTGGCTGTGGCCTGTGACCTCCATTGTACCCACTGAGGTATGGGCTTGAGCTTCAAAAAATTAGCTCTTACCTCACACACCCCACATCCAGCTTGGCAAATCTCTGGTGGCTGTGGCCTGTGACCTCATCTGCTGCAGTTTTATGTGCCACAGGGAGTACCTGTTGAGTTTTACATGCTTCCCCCACACCTCAGTCCATGACCAACAGCACTCCAGATGCTGTGTCTGTGTGGTCCACCACAGAGGCACTGAGGACTCATGTCTATCCTCAACAGTGGGAAGGAACAACCATCATTTACCAAAAGATAGACTTGAGGTCTACACAGAGCACAGCTCCTGGTTTCTGCCCCCTCTGCAGTGCCAGGCACACCTCAACATCCCTTCTGTGGACATGGCCAAGACCAACAGCACTCCAAAAGCTGTGTCTGTGTGGTCCACCACAGAGGCACTGAGGACTCATGTCCATCCTCAACAGTGGGAAGGAACAACCATCATTTACCAAAAGATAGACTTGAGGTCTACACAGAGCACAGCTCCTGGTTTCTGCCCCCTCTGCAGTGCCAGGGCACTCTGCTCACTCATGGTCTTAGCTAGGCAGCATCCTAGTGTTAGGAAATGTGTTTGGTTTTCCCCTACACTGCAGTTGCTGCTGTGCTAATGAGCTTTAAATCAGTATTGCACAAAAGCATTGCAGAGTCTCTTCCTGCAAAAGGAAGTGAGAATGAATTGCTCTAATAACTTGGCTCAGGGTAGCTGTGGTTTTCAGTACTTCTAGAAACCAAGAGATCATGGCTGGAGTGTGGTTGAACATGTAGGGAAGTGGCATCTGCACCAAGAGTGCTGGCACTGATGCTGCACTGCTTCTGCTCTCATGAGAAAATGGTCTGAAATTTCCCACTCCTGCTCACTGCAACACTGGCACAGGCTCTGCTTGACATTTCAGCCTGCAGGTTGTGGAGCTCATCCCCTGCTGAGAGGATTGTGAAAGTCTGCAGCATCTTTGTGGCAATGGTCTTCAGTTTTCTGCAGACTCCAAAAGACAAAGTTGAGCTGTATCTTTGGTCAATATTTTTTGAGGTACTCCTCCTAATGTGCAAGCTAGACAAATATTTTCAGGAGAACATGTTACCAAACACTAACATATTAAAAATCTGTCCCTGCATAGAGACCACAAACACTAAACCCTTAATTAATACAACTCAAATTTCTAGCCATGAAGAATCTTGTGTTGGCATTTAGGCTCCACCCTCCTCTATTACTCTTTGCAGCTGGAATTCCCCCATCTGTGATGAGTGCCTGGCAGAGTCACACACTCAGTTTCTGCTTCTCACTGTCCTTTGCATGCAAAGGGCCAGAATTCTTTCTCTGAGAGGATGAAGACCAGCCCAGCAACTCCAGGCAGCTGAACCTTGCATTCAAATGAAGCAACGGGGTTGAAACAACAGCAAGGCAATAAATCAGATTCCTTCTTCAGAGGAAACACAAAGTCAGGGTGTCCCAGGGTGAAAAGAGAGGAAGGAAGGGAGCAGGAAGTGGTTGCTTAGGAGGTGCATCCTTTCTAACCTTGCAGTAAGGCAGTTTAGCTCTCTAAACAAACACAGAGTGTTTCTTACCTACATAGAGGTTCCAGAATTCCTCCTACAGGCAGGTGTGGGGAAAGGGGAATAAAAGGAGACAGGCAAAGTTAGATGAGAATTACTGAATCCTTCATAAAAATATTAAGAGCTTTCATACAGAGGATATTTGCAGCTAACAACTGTTTAAACTCATATTGTTACAAGCACATACAGTGCCTTGCAGCTTGTTATTACCATGTAATAAATTAAAATCATGTTGTCCACCTATAGAGCCCAGCTCTCCAGCAACAAGCCTCACACATTATCCAAAACCATCTAAAACCCCCTAGAGACTTCCCAGAGTGACTTACTCAGCGTGAGGCACTCCATTTCTTGCACAACTGTATCTTTCTACCAGTTTTGACCCAATTTCCTTAAATTCCTGTGAAGTCACATTCTCAGACTCCATTCCCCCACCCCTCCCCATAGTGCTGTGGGTCAGGACCTCAGAAATCCTGAGACTGAGGAAATATCTCATCTGACTGCTGTCCTTTCCCTCTCCAGGTATGCTGCCTGCCCAGGACAGTCCTTCCCAGTGACATCTGGTCCCCAGGCAGAACAGGCTGTGCCAGTTCTGTTATAGATATCCAACCTTTATGCTCTGAAGAACCCTGGCAATGAACCCATGAGTCCCCACCCAGCTCAGGGCCACTCCAAGAACAGGCTGGTCAGCAGGTAATGCTGAAGTGAAATGAATCTGGCCTTAACTCCAGTTTCAGGGCTGTTCTGAACAGCCAGGTAGCTACAGCAAATGGTCCCAGGTCCCCTCCACCACCAACTCACTTCAAGTTTTCAAACACCACGTTTTCTGCTTCCCACTGCTGCCCCATCTCTCTAACTCTCCCTGGAGCTCGGGGACAGATCATATCTCTGTCTAAAGTTAAGCAGTCACCAGGGTAGGGCAGGTGACAGAAAAGCCACACACAGAAACTTCATTCCATGTGAGCAATTTGACATACAAGAACTGTTCCCAGTGCACGTTCTGTCAGTTCAGATACTGGAAAAGGGAGCCACAAAATGATAAGCACCACACAGCTGCTTGAGATACAAATCTCTCCCATGAACTTCCATGTTAGAATTCACTTTCTCAACCTTCCTGTGGACTCTCCACCTAAGAATTTTTGACCATAGTCATGACATTTAGCTTTGCCACCTAGATAGGGTGAACACATTTTCCACACAGGTAGTATTAAAGCATTTAAAGGCCAAATACTTCACAATGGCCATTAAACAGATCAGAACAGGTAAAAGAATTGAGACTTTAACATGGGCTGGCCCTGCAAGAGCTAAATTAAGATAGTTCTCCTACAATGCCTTAGTAATTCCAACCATGGTCATAACCACTAATTTATTTTTTGCATTAAGTGATTGGGAGCAACTTGTGAGTTTTGATGCTCATCTCAAAAGACCTTAACACTACTTTATAAACATGAAATATATAGACCTATGTCTCATATTAGCTCATTCTTACAGTCTTCTCCTGGTCTTCAAAGGCTTCTCTTGCTTCTTCTTTCGAGCAACGCTCCTCATTGCATTCTCTTTCAATGTTCCCTTTCTTCATTTCCTCCAAAAAAGAGTTAGCACGTTTTGTTCTTTCCAAGAACTTGTTGGCATTTTCTTTCTTGATGAATACTAGACAACAGAGAAAATTATACAAGTAACATTTGGAGGTGGCAGAGTGTCATTAGAAGTAAGTGAAGTGGAAAACTGAAACAGACCCTTCCACCACTCTGCCTGTACACAACATGATTTGTGAGGTTAGTCCTCACACAGACTGATGCATCCCAGGATCTCTCAGAGCATTAGATCTCTCTTAGATCCCCTCTGAGAATCTGCAACTCCAGGATAAATTGTAGGGCCCTCAAATTTTCTCCTCCTGCTTTTAGTCTTGACACGCAGGTTGCTGCTGAGGGCTTCTATCTATGTTGATCCTGCTCCAGACTCTAGCCTTGAACAGAATGACTTTCCCTCAAGGCCAGGGGGATGGCATTCCTTGGTTTGGTTTTGAAGCTGACCACCAGGCAACACCACCGCCCACTCTAGGGGCTTGTGGTGCAGAAATTAAATGCCACACAAACTCAAGATATATTCATGTATCTACTGACAGCTGAGGAAAGCCCATATGTGAGTTCCACTGCCCTTCACCACCCCAAATCCCACTGAGCTGCCCTGGGGTCCTCCTTTCCTCTTAACACTACCTCCCAATTGCCTGTAAAAATGTTCCTGCCTCACTAGTATGTGTGCAGGTAGAGCTAAGGCAGCTGGGTTCTAAGATTTAACAAAGACCACAAGTAAGCAAACACCAGCTTCAAGCAGGAAAATCCAGCCTAGGATCAGTTTGCTGGGTTGGTTTATTTTTTAGAAGCTTGGTGTCACGGAAGTGTCAGACCTGCTGCCCTCAAGTTCAAGATGCAGGTAGCTGTTGATGTAAACTGAAGGACCAGAGGCATTAAACTCAGCTCAGATATTTGACTGCATGAACAAGAGCCCAGTTCAGGGATAAATAAACGTGCTGACAGTAATCACATACCCTAATATCCTCTAAACGAACACAGAGGGGACTTTGCTTGTCCTGAAACTGGTGAATTCACCACAGGGAGCCAAATTCTGCTGGTGCTGTTTTAATCTTCTTGCTCTATGAAGCAATACCACAAGATCCCAGGCATCATTTGAAGCCCCCCTCGCTCTGAGGAGGCTGCTCACAAGGAAGGCTCACAGAAAACGCTTGTGCCTTGTAGGTTAGCAGCTGTCAGTTCATTCACCCCCTCTCTCATTTGCCCTTAAACCCCTCCCTGTGGGGACAAGTGGCAGGACACAGCCGGTGGGGTTATTGCCTCTGGATCCCTTGGCCTCCACATCCCTTTGCCTAAGCGGATGTTTTTGTAAACTTGAGCTAGCCAATGACTCTTCTGAGGCTTCTGGTCATTCTTTCCCAAGCTTTCCACCACGCTTCCTTCTCGGGTGACACCAAGGAGTGCCAGGCGTCGGTGGAGTGGAGCAGCACGTTCCAGAAACGTGAGGGAGAGCTCCTTTTAAAGCTTCCCCGGGCTGACTCACCGAAGGGAGAGTTAATGACACCTGAAAAGCCACTCGCTGATGCTGCTTGGACTGCGGGGCGCTTCGGTGCTGACCCTAGCGCACAGCCAAGGGGACGTGCTCCCCCCCTGCGCACCCAGCCGAGGGTGGGGAGGGTCGGCAACCGCACTCCGTGGGGCTGGGGGGAACGGGAGGAGGCAGCAGCCCGGGAAAGCCCTCGGGGGCCCGCAGCGGGACACGGCACCCCCGGGGCTCACGCACCCCGCGGCTGAGGCGGCACAGGGGCGGAGAGAAGCCTTTTGGG